GCAAGAATGGTACTTATTTTTATATTACTGAATATTTATTATTATTGGAGGGTGGTATATATATTAGTAAGGGCCCCTGAGCAAAAATAATTTTAGCAAGAACTGGAAACTGCGCACAAATGGTAATCACTCTAATCAGCGTACGCCACTCTTTGCACTGCTGTGCTCTTGATACCACAATTTTATTTTTGAACGCTTTGGGATATTCCGATTTTGCTCAGAAACATTGCTTTTCTAAATCTGTCAATATTAAATTAATTAGTTTGCTAGACATTCATTTATTTATTGTCTTTACTGTGCATTTATTATTCTACTGTGCATTTATTATTTTAACTGTACAGTGAATCTTTTTACTGTGTATTTATTAGTTTTGCTGTGTTTGTTATTTTACTGTGCATTTATTATTTTTACAGCATTTATTATTTTTACTGTGCATTTATTATTATTTTTACTGTGCATTTAATATTTTCACTGTACATTTATTATTTTTTCTGTGCATTTATCATTTTACTGTGCATTTATTATTTTACTGTGCATTTATTATTTTTACAGCATTTATTATTTTTACTGTGCATTTATTTTTTTACTGTGCATTTATTAGTTTTACCGTGTATTTATTATTTTACTGTGCGTTTATTATTTTCACTGTGGATTTATTATTTTTACTGTGCATTTTTCAGTTTTACTGTGCATTTATTATTTTACTGTGCATTTATTATTTTTACATCATTTATTATTTTTACTGTGCATTTATTTTTTTTACTGTGCATTTATTTTTTTACTGTGCATTTATTATTTTTACTGTGCGTTTATTATTATCACTGTACATTTATTATTTTTACTTAATTTTTTATTATTTTTTGTTGTTTAAATAATATACCGTGCATTTAATTTGTTTCCATTTAAAAAATAGTTAGATTTGTAATCTACAACGTAAATTTCTACTTCCTTACAGATAAATACTTGCAAGGTTTCTCTCGTCCTAATTATAAAATCGATGTTTAGCCTAGTTTGAAACGCAAAAGAAAGTTTTACGATAATTCAACAATAGAAACACTTAATTCAAATTGAAACTTATCGAATTCGTCTCAGCATTGCGATGTCAAGAGTGTATTCAGACATTTATATCGTAATACGAATGTTTTGCACGAGTCGCTTTTTGTGCAGATTGCTTCTTACTTTGCGATCTTTGAAGGGTGGGATTTCCACAGAGACATCGAACAGTTTCAAGAAAATCTCTTCTGATACAATTTTCTTAACTTGAATACAAGAAAATTAAAAAATAACAGCAAAGAACTTCGTTATCACATTTACATTAAATGCAAATAACGACTCGTTTGTGTTTAAGTTACTTTGTGCAAATAATAAGAAATTCTATGTCGACGAAATTTATTATCGCTTTAGAACTCTAAAACAATTTCACTTCCACGACAAAATCTTTTGTAAAACTCACTACAATACTTGTCACAAAGAACGCGCTAATGAGATGGTATTGTAACCGATAAAATAAACTTTTACTCATGATTTAGCTTGTTAATGTTAATTTTTTTATAATACAACATTCATGATAAAGAATCTTTTTTGAAGTGACATTGAATGGATTTCGTTTCAGTGATCACAGCTTTTATTCTCTTTCAATTTTCAATAAAAACTTTCGTCGCAGTGTCTGCAGAAGCAAGAATCGCACCGTTTAAGCTGAATGAATAAAAAAGCATTGCGTCCAGGTGGATTTCAATCCTTTTCCTACATAAAGCTAATTTTGTTCGATTTTGGCCCTTATCGAGGAAAGTTTTAAAGCGGAAAATTGAAACCATGACGGTGGAACAGACCATGTGGAAATAACTCCTCTGAAGAATTTACAAGTTTCGACAACAGGAAGTTTTAAAATTAGTGGAAATTTGTCTTTGCTACAGTAATTATGAACTGTCACGATGGACGTTTCAAGTTTTTCGCTTTTTGATTGCAAAGTTTCAAATAAAATACACAAACAAATTTACTAATTATTTGAAATTTTAGACTAGTTTAGAAAGCAACTATAAATAATGAAGTAAATCTAATTACAGTTTTAATTTTCTTAATTAAGGTCTGTTTTGATTAAAATTTGTTTCATTAAATTTCAATATTTTCTATTTAATAGAAATTTTAAATCACTAACAAAGTTTTTTTGACGTTATATACAAGCTGTTCCGGCTAAACCCCACATCAGAAATATTGAAAGTTCTAAAAGTAATATTTATCTAATTTTTTTTACTAAATTTTTTGAATTCGCATCTTCCTCTCCAAAAATCGGTAACTCTACAATTTTTAATTATTTTGAAATCGTATTTGGGCACATGAAAAAGAAAGGTTAGATCTTTTCTTTCGCATATTTATAATTGCAAAAATAATTTACAAACCTCCAAAATTTTATTTATTACAAACTTTTGGTTTTTTACTTTTTTATACTTTCTTATTCATTTTTTTATTGTTTTTTCTTCTTTAATTAAATTTTAGATTTTCTTTGGATATGTAAAAAAAAAACGTTATTGTTATCATTCCGAATTCAGTGCTTTTAATATTAACAAGTTTTGACATAAAAATGATTAAATTACATTTTATTATTTAAAAATTAAAAAAATTACCAAAATGTGGTTGAAATTTTTACTATTTGTGAGTGCCAAAGATAGTTTATCTGATACGACTAAACCCCACATTGGAAGTTTTGGGAGTGATTTATTTTTATCTAAAATTTGAATGAAAATATTTTTTAGGTGGCAACATGTTATTTCAAATAGAAAGTTATATTTTTATTGCGTTTTTGGATTACTCAAGTGATTTTGAGAGTTTTTATCAGACTTTTTCTAAACCTAAATTTAACTGTTTTTGAAATATTTACAGTTTTTTGATTTTTTTTAATTTGCGTCTTCTTCTCCAAAAATCGATAACTCTACCATTTTTAATTATTTTGAAATCGTATTTTGGTAGAGAAAAAGGAAAGGTTAGATCTTTTTATTCGTGTATTTATAATTGGAAAAATAATTAACAAACCTCCAAAATTTAAGGTTACGTTTGGGAAATTTCAAATACCCGTAAATATTTTTTTTCAAATGGAAAGCCCCAACTTTTTTTCACTAAATGAAAGAGAATTTAATTCTGCATCGACTGTATCAACATTCTCTATACCTAAATTTAATAATTTTCGAGTTATTTTGACTTTTTTTTACTATGGAAGAAATTCATTACTATCCCATGGTAGTTTTCGCATAGTTTCCCATGGAAATATTTCTCACTGAAAAAACGCCAAGTTTTTTTACAATTGTGTTATTCTTTTCGTAAATACAAATTAAATTTATTTGATTTAAATTTGAATAACATTGATATTCTATTTTTTTTATTATTTCTGTGACAATCTGTGCTAAAGTAAAACCATATTTTTTCTAAGGGAAATTATAAATGAAACCATAAGACACGAATTTCTAAAACCATAAATTGGAGTATAAAAATGTGAAAGTTAAAAAAATCTAAAAATTTTAAAAGTTAAGCATAAAATAACACAAATCAGTAAATAACATAAACTAATAAATACTAAGAAAAATGTAACACTTGGAAATCAAAACATAAAATATAAACTCTTTCAAAATACATTCAAAAAAACAATAATCAATAGAAATAAAAAAATTAAGGAAATAAAAGTTTTAAATTTCGTTTTTCTGAACGAAAATCGGCAATGATGAAAAATGTTACTAAAAAAAAAGTTAGCTATTTATGCAACAAGCTGCAAAATGAGCGTGTTTTACTAGACGTATGCAAAAAAACAGCTATTTTGAATCGTGTTTTAAGATTTTTTCCACTTTTTTTTCCCACACTTTTTAACAGTACCTAGTGATAAAATAATGTCATCTTTAAAATATTTTCATTGAGCAGAACCTAACCGATTATGGCTACACCTAATAAAAATTTTAGATAAATATCACTGTTAGAACTCCCGGAACACCCTGTACAAAATGTTAATATTCTTGAGCAAAGAAAATGTGAGAATTTTTTTCTGAAAGACCATTATGCTCTAAAAAATTGCATCTATTAAAGCTTTTATTAAAGCAATAATTTTATTCACTCGTTCGTGAGCAGGGTTAGATATTTGAACATATTCCTGCATTTGAATACTTGAAAACATGTTTAGATAAGAGAGGCTATTGTGCTCGTATGCATTTGTGATAAACCGATTTTGCAACACTTTGCAAACATAAATGATATTGATTTGAAATCTTGCAAACGCAGACGCTTTTCGCATTTATATAAAAATATTTTATTTTCTTTCCATTATTTTTTTTTAAATTCAAATTTTTTCATATATGCAAGGCTAATTTTTTTTAATTTTTAATCAACTATTTTAAGAAAGATTTGTTTGGTAATGATTTTAGGAATGAAAAATTTATTGTCAATTTTTTTCTTGAAATTTGCTTTTAATTTAGAAAAACCAAGTCAATGAGAACAATGCGTGGCCTAAAGCACAATATTATGAAAAAAATAAAATACGGGATTTATGAGTAAGAGTGGATTTCTTACTAACTTTTATTTTTAACTATACAAAAATGTTATGTTATAATAATAACGTATTTTTTTATATCTTTAAAATTTGAGCCTTATCCTCACGAGAAAATTGTCTTGTTGAAACGATAACTTAATGAGTTTCTTTTTTCTTTTTTCCTAAATTTTTCTCTTCCTAAACTCATTTACTTTTTATGTTAATCTCTCTTTTAATTCAATTTTTTATCTCATTTTTTATTGTTATTTTTCAATTTTTCTTTCTACAACATTTCTGCCATTTTATCATTTATTTAACTGTTTTGTTTGCTTTTGTTTTTTTTCTTTTTTTCTTATTCATATTGCTTTTATAGTTTTGGTATTGTTCCTTCCTTTCTATTTTTTGCTTATTTTTGTTGTTGTTTTTACTTAGCTATTATAATAATACTTAGCCATTCATTCTGTTTCATGCCTCACACTGAAATATTTTTTTTCAGTTTGTTGCAGCACGAAGCCCGTGATTGGAAAATACGAGTTCGAACAGTGAAAAATTCAATGGATGACTGAAGTTAAGAACTGCAAAACGAAAAGAAAATAAAAAGTGTATAGTGTAATTCAAGAGGAGGAAGTTTTCTGAAGGAGACATAAACGAAATGAAAATGAAAGAGACTATGGACTCAGTTTTAGTTTATTGCTACTTGTGACTGGCATTGTGTAAATTTGTGACAATACATTTAGTATTTAAAGCAAATCAAAATATTGTAAGTAAATTATTACATTTCGTAGCTTTGTGTTTGTCGATATGTAACCAATAAATTGTTTTATTTATTTATTCGGGCGTTTTACTCAATTCGATTCTATTCAAATATTGATTATAGTTCCGAAATCTGGCCAAACTAATTCAGTTTCAGGCAAAAGTTGAGTTTCAGCTAATTTCTAGTTCGATTTCAGAGCTGTTGAATCATTAAATTACCAAAATAATGACTTAATTTGAGCCCTAATAAAACTTTGTGTGGAAACTAGTACTTGTTTTAAACCGGTTAATAAAATTTCCGGGTTCCGGGTAAGCTCCTCAAATGAATTTTATGAGGAGTGGAAAAATCAATATTTGAAAATGTATGAAAAAATGAAAAATTAAATTAAGAGCCGTATTTTCCCCTTAGCTCGAATAAAACCCACATTAAATTAGATAAATAATAACAAGAAAACCAAAAAAATCTCGTGGGATTTAGAGTTCAATTTGCACTCGAGTTGTGAAAGCGGTTCTTTCGCCTCCTGAATCGCCAAAAAACCTCTTTTCAGCAGCAATTTTTGATCCTCGCTTTGGATGACCATCACCGCAAATAGGTTTCTCCTAATGTCTTAATTTTATTTAGTAAAAGCTTTTTACTGGGACAAGATTAATTTAGTCAAACATTCTTTGCAAATAATGCTTCTTTCAGGGGAAAACTCGTCAAGTCCCTTTGGTCTTAATGATAAATGGATGCCAGATAGCTAAATCAATCAACTAACGCTACTGACTCGAATGAATAGCTAATATCTGTTGAATAGTTTCAATTTACATGAAATAATAGTCATGAATAGTCAAATTCTACTCACTGCCAATGAAACAATTACTTGAATTTTGAAACTTGAATAGGAAAAATTTGGGATAAAGCACGTCTTTTGCTGCAGTGTTAATGAAGGAAATACCCTTCACGTTTGTCACGCTTACTTCATAAAGTGCTTGTTGTGAACAGCGAGAACTCATTTAGGAAGTATGTGTGTAATTACTAGAACCATTAGCTCCAACACTAAGATGCAGTCCTGTTAATTTATTCGGAAAGTTAAAAAGGACATAGGGTTAATTAAAAAAAATGTATAGGACATTGATAGATAGTGAATCATCTAAAATAATTTTCAACCATACAAATACAAACTTGTGTTTTTTTAAATGAAACATCATGTGTTTCTTGGTCTTCTAAAACAACGCTCAACTTTTATTAGTCGATTTTGCTTAGTCTTGAAATAAGACGTTTTTCTTGACTTTTTAAAAATTTATTGCACAAAAACTAAGACAGCTAGAACAATTTTTTTCTTACTTCTGCAAAGAAGAAAGTACAGAATTTAAAGCTGTAGCAATTTTTTAGTGTTTTGCATTTGTAAAGATTAATCAATTAACAAGTTTGTTAAAAAGTTCAGTAACTTAAAAAAATTAAATGAAACACCCTATTTTTAATTTTTGCACCTAATAGATTGATAAATTGTTTATCTAAAAATAAACTTTTAATGTCTAGAATTGATAAATGAAAAAATATTTAACATTCAATATTAA